GGGTGGGGCAGCCGTTGTAACTATACTGAGACCTTACAACTTATATCTCAAGGTGCGTGGCGCATTTACGTTGTAAATGTCTATGGGCTCCAGTAACCACTTAACACCAGGTGGGCTGTGAGCTCGTCTACCCATCTAACCTACCAATAAAAAAATGATATCCCAGGACTCGAGAGAACGGAACGAGCATCTTCCAGAAACTTTAGTTTTATACTGCAGGCTCACAAAGCATAAACCTAATAAAATAACAGGTACTTAGCTTATTCATAGATGTTTGTTATCTATTTATGATACTGTAGTCGTTACTTGGCGTTTTGCCTTCGAAAGCGATCCTCTTACACTCTACTTAACTAACTAACAAATGTACGGTAAGACATTTAAAAGGACTGCGTCGAACATTGAACACTCCTAAAGAGATTTACAGATGGTAGATACTTCGATACCCACCGAGTTTCTCGCCGGATCTTCTGTGTGAGTCGCGATTCCGATCGGATCGCGATAGATCAAACACTGTTCCTGCCAGAGCCAGTGTTAGCAATTTCGTGAGCTCACCTACTGGTCCGTGGAGAGTTTAATAGCCCTTTTGGCTTCTAGCGACTAGGTAGAAATAAAAAAACAAGCAAGGTACTGATGATTTAAGGCCCGAAATTGTTCTGAAAATTGCGGTTTCAATAACAAATAATAAAAAACGGGGCTAGGGCCTTTATTTTACCGCCTTAGCTTTAGATACCAAATATTAATTATGAATTTATGCTCTTTACAGGAAAATTTCAATGGACCTTACAAAATTTCTGATTATTACCATTACTCTAGTAATCATCCTGACCACTTGCGATAGTTTCATCCAAAACTGGTTACCAAGCTTTTTTGGGTCAAAAAAGGGAAGACGCAGCTTATCCGAAGTTATAACCAATTATCTGGACGAGGTGTTCCCTAAAGATGATAAAGAATCTAGAACTATGAAGCAGATTTTCATGATGCTGTCCGATGATGGAAACAAAGATATGGAAACTCAACTTGAAGGCATAGAGTTTTTGTTAGAATAGTACTAATAATATTTTAAAAAAAATTGTTGACTGATAATTTAAATAGATATATGTATTTATTATTATACAAATTGCTTTTTTTTTCAACAATATTCCGAAGATGATGGTAAGTAGACGTGAAAATTTGCCTTGTTGAGTTATTTGCAGCTCAAATTTAAATCTCTATCTGATTAAACTCTATTGTTTGTTTATATGTGTTCCATGAGTTCGTATGCCTTTCATTTGTTTGAATTAAAACATTGTACATACTTACAACTACGGATGATACCTATTACATCTATATATAGTTACATATAATAATATCACAATTTACCATGAACGTGGCATAGATGGCGCTTGAGCAATTTAAAAACATAACATTTTCATTCATTTGGTGATATTAACAGCTTAAGTAATAAGTGTGCTATGCATGTCAACGGCGAAGCATGGTCTTGATACTCACATTTTTATGAATTAAAACCTTCTATATATTACATTTCGTATATATTCTGTTTCAATTTTTTAATGTTCCATATTGTTAGTGAAGTTTTTTAATACGCAGATGGAAATCGAATCATATGAAACCTTTCCGTGAGGGCACTACAATCTGGAACGCAGAATCGATGCGGTTAAGTACGTGATTTTTCTGGATTAATAAACTTTTTTATAATTCTGCATAGATGTATAATCACTAGATGAGTTCGTCCACTTTTCTGGATAAATTAACGCCAGTTATTCGCTAAAAACAATTACCAAAAAAACAAGAAAAAAAATTTCGGAAATTTCTATTTCTTAATTAGATTTTGAAATGAAAAAACAATTACATTTACAAAATCAAAGAAAGAACGAATTAAATTAGAACAGTTTTTAAATCTTTAATCACCTACACCATTTATAATAGCAAATCAACGATGAAAAACATTCAGATAAAAGGAGCTACCGAAGAAATATATTAAGTTTCTTTTATTATTTAAACATCTAATATATAAAATGAAATAGAAGCAACATCTATACTTTACCTACATAATTATGTATGTGCAAATATAAAATACTCTAAATTTGTATTCAAATACCTCGATTTAAATTATTAATTTAATAATAAAGTTGTTTATTGTAGTTTGTATTGGAATATTAGTCATCTTAATCTTCGGACCTAAACGCGCAAATGCTTCGTGGCAAACATCGACAGAAAGATAGTTCTGGACATAGTCAAGTAACGTGCGTAACTATGGTAAGATCACAGATACTACCACGGTTTACTCTTTAATGCACTCCCGATTCTGCGGACACAATGGAAAGCAGTCGACGTCGCCCAAAACACGTCATTTCGGATCCACCCGATCCACTAACGGTGCTTTTAGGCACCTCAAGCACCGGTCATCGTTCTCGTGGAGCCCGTCGCTTGCTCGACGAGTGAATTAACCCACAGACACAGCCCACTGAGGTTCTTCGCCGAATCAATGGATCGCGTTTCCGATCCGGTGGTAGATTCTGCGAAGCACGGCTCTTGCTAGGGTTCGTGTTAGCAACGTCGTCAGATCTGAGCCCCGCGAGCTCACCTACTAGTTACGGTTACGCTGAAATAGCCTCTCAAGACTATCAGCTTAGGTAGGAAAAGAAAAAAAAAAAAACTTCCACGTTTTATGCATTGCGATCTGCTTTTTTAGCGTAGCCCACCGACTGCCAGTAGCCTCATCGCGCTATTCTGGCTTCACTGAATGTAGGCTCACTTGGCTCAGTCTTGGAGAATTTGCTAACATCTGCCCTAACAAGAATAGTTCTTCGCTGAATCTACCACCAGATCGGAATCGCGACCCACTTAGAAGAATCGATGAGAAACTCAATAGGTACAATCTTACTACCATGTCTCCATGAACTGAATAAAGTTAATAAGAAATATCGCGCATTAAATATTATTAAATAATATTATTAACATGTCAGAATATATTAATAAAATTATTCTCTGTTTCGTATATGGGCCCCTTCGTAAAAACACCACTGTCTACTAATTTGTGCTACTGGACATATATTTTATTTTATCAAACGTTGACTGCAAATTTTAAATATTTTGTAGTGATCTTTTCCGATGCAAGCTTTCACACCTTCCCTCTGAGTTTATACGGGCTATTCGTGTACCTGCTACTACTATAATAAATAATAAATTAGGTTATTCTATGTGATCGGTCTATATGATATTTATATGATTCGAAAAATTTAATACCTTTTCTTTTTTAGGTCTTCATAATCCGAATGAAAATTTAAAAAATAACGAATAATAAACAACCACGGATATGTTTGAATTTTTATGCCAAGATGCGTACAAACCTACGGCCCACTTGTTGTTGAGTTTACGGTACCACTCGTATCACGCATAAAACCTTTTATGGAAACTCGATCATCACGATTTGCCTAAAAAGGTGTGGTTGTTGCTCGTGGCTCGGAAATGATAGTAATAAATCAGAAACAAAAATGCCAAGCGCGAATACGCAATTATATCACAGATTATACAATTTTGAAACAAGAAACTCGACAAACTCGTTTAACTACCTGTAACCAAAATTTAAATTAGTATACGGAGTCACGTTTAGTTGAAAAACAAAAGTTAATGGTTTAATGTTGGGTACCCGACTGGCATGAGACTCTCGGGTTGTCAGTTCCGGTAACGACCGGGGACGCGTGTTTGCTGTTTCAAAGTCTGGCGTATTAAGTGTATAATCTTTTTTTTATGATTGAAGGATTGCTGGTGGCCCGAAGGCCTTTCCAGTTGCACCAGGATAGGTGGGCGAGCAAAGGCTCAGCCAGAAGGGGTGGGATTTGCTAACAGCTACCCGAGCGCCTCCGAAGAAGACCTAACAACTCAAGAGCAGCAGCTTCGTGAATGAATCTACTACCGGATCGGAATTGCGACCCGCTGAGAAGATCCGGCGAGAAACTCAGCGAGCTGATTCATGGGTGAGGTTGCACGTCGAACTCTTTGTCGAGTTCGACGAGTACGGTTACCGGGGTCCCTAAGCCTGCTCCTAGTGTTAGAGCTGAAGGCGTCTAGTGCAAAGGTTATTGGATCTGATGGATCCGTAAGGACGTGGTGTATCATCTATGGTCTGGCGCGCACTCATAGGGGGTGCAAACTGCAAATGGTGCAATAGGTGCGCGGGCGGTGGGTCGTCGCGGCACGGACCTGAGTCACAATCCCTTTGGCTACTGTTGCCCCGCGAAACGGAACGCTGTGTTACAATGGTTCTTCGACACCTTACCTTCCTGTTTATGCAACATTATATGTCATTTGCAATTTTCTACTCCAGGTGATATCATTAAAACTATAAGGAATGTTCTGTTTCTCAGGCAATCCGTTTACGCAAGGTACGACCACGGCTTCATTCCTACTAAATTTCATTTAAAAACGTGTCATCATCATCATTCTCGAGTTATTTTTGCAAAATCAGACGATCCGATTTTGCTGCATGAAAAACAAGTTCATTTCATTTTCTTTCATTCATTTCCTTTTATAGGTATTCAACTTCTTGCAATGAATTATTTTTAATTACCTATATATTATATACGAAAACTCTTAGTCAGCTGCTACTATTTATTTTGGAATGAAAAGTATTTGAGTGAAGCTAAACGTGTAAGTTAAAAATTAAACCGTAGGAAGCTAGTTTGTTTGACTTGCACAGTCTCATCACTATTTTATTCATTTCTAATTACATAAGACGTGAAGTCAGCAGCTCTTAGAGCGAAATGTTATTGCAACGTAAAAAAAAGATTCTGAATTTAAATTTCGGTACTTTATATGATGATTAATCATTACTTCTAAACGATCATAATATCAAAATATAAGTATATATAAATGAATATATACATTCACATTAATAATAATATATGTACATATAAAGATTTTATTTGCATTTTTAATTGTAGCACGCAACGAAAATCTTTCGATTAATTTTTTTTAATCAACTTACACGCTACAGTCTTTTTGGTCTTAAGCATTTGATGCTAGCGAAGCTGATTTAAGGGAACTATGCGACTTTGCCTAAATTCAAACTCCGCAAGTAAATCATATTTAAAAAAAGAAAATACTTATCTAAAACGCGATGACTTCACATATTTATCTATTGATTTATTTGAAAAACTTCGAGTCTCTTTGCTTTAGTTAGAAATTTTATTTCTTATTAAGTAACATCTAAATAATGTTCAAAGTTTAAACAGTGTAATAAAATGCTATAACCCAATATATTCAAATACTACTGACACATCTCTTCTATTATAATTTTCTCCTAATTATGTAATTTAGATTCATACATTTTCATAAAGCATTTGCAGATCCGCTCTGATGTTTTAAACAAGTTTATGTCAATAGGACAATTAATTCATTCGAATTTGTTTAAAAAATAGATTTTATTTTATTAAAAACAGGATCACTCGTCATGACTTGTTTGTTTTTTAGTCCTAAAATATATATATGTCCTTGATTTTCGTTCAATTACCTACATCTGTTTACACACAACCCGATCGCGTACTTCAATACATCTAGTTATTGCTTCACCAAATCCTTTTGTCGTATGAGTATTGATCATTTTCAGTCGTTTTATGTCTTGAAAGGCATCATTTTTCTCACTCGACGATTCTTTTTGCGTTTCAATTTTATGATCCTCATACTGAACATCATCTTGAGTGTTTGGAAGATTTTTCCACGTTGCCGGTGGCCTTCGGGAGTTCGTAAAGGGGCCGGTCTGGTATCCGCATTCAAGTCTACCCCCTCTCAATCTACAACCTCCATGCAAATCTACAATATTCTCTTTCGTTTTGGGCGATCCAACATTTCGATTGTATCCACAAAGAACTCTGTCGTCCACGATTTTACAACGACTACTGTCAAAATCATAAGGGCAGCATCGACTTTTCAACTTTTGCCCGTTGTTGTTCTCAATAGATTTATAATGACTCGTATTTCGCTGAATCTGTTGTTTGTCATTTTGATTGTTATATTCAATACCCTCAGTAGAAATTCTAGCTGCTGCCGTTTTCGCGGTAAATATTATTATCTGAAAACGTGTTGTTTCTAAAATGACAGTCCACTAAACTTGTAAGCACGTGTATCAAAAAATTTAAACATACAAATCATTAAATTGAATATAAAAACGAAGGGAACTAACCGTGAATATCCGACAGTATCTCATGTTGCTTATCGCAAAGTTATGAGTTTCAATTAACGTTGGAATAACGTACAGCCAGCATAAATATTTTGTTTCTTTCGATTGAATTACATTATAAACGTTACATATGCGTTATGATTTAAGAGTCAAGTTTATAGTACGTCCAACTAATTTATTTACCATTTTCATCTCGTCACCACATTAATGATGTCTATATTAATCTAAGCCTAAAGCGTGTTAAAATTACGTCATAGATACAAGTCCATAAGAAACGATAAAAGGAAATATTCCAACGTGTGGTTATCTTTGCTTGGCAGAAAGAAATGCTTTCTTCTTATTCCAGCTACTTAGTAATTTAATTAGTTTTGAATTTTACTAAAGATTGATGGGTGTGCGTTAAAAAAAATTAAGCGCATGTATCAAGCACGAAAGGGTAGACCGTCTACCATTATCTGTCGTAGATACAGGTTAAAGTAAAATCATATTAAAATAGACTAAGGTCTTTTGAATGAAAATAAAACATAATAAGCAATATCTACATATAAATGTATGTTTTATACTCCGAAACAACAGGACCGATTCCAATGAAATCTTCAAGAGATTTTTTGAAAATCACCCTCTGGAGTGACCTTGTGAAGTTTGGTAGCAATAGACTCAAAGTCAAATCATACATCGTCCAGCAAGGCAGATCGAGTTAGACTAGTTAAGTATAATTCTAGACATGTTCATAACGATAAAGGGTAAATCGTCAGTATTACTTTGAAGTTCAATTCCTTTTCCTATTTACGTATCTATAAACAAAATCTAAAAATGCTTAGGTATAGCAAATTTTGTATAGTCTCAAAAAGAAAATTTTACAGCATCTCCGATCGCACTTTTGAATTCGCTTATTTTTGAAAGTCCTGGAAATAGTGTTATACGTTTCTTTTTCTGAGTTTTCTCGTAATTTTGCAAGATTTTGTTTAACTCCTCCTTACTTAACTTTTTACTTCGAAGTCTTTGTAGGCTAACCATCGCAGTTTGTGATATTTTTCCTTTTTTGTAATCTGCAATCACTTTCTGTAGGATTTTCTCTTTAGAAGTACTGAGAGAGTGCTTTCTTTTCAATTCGTTAACATTTAACAATTTAAGTGATATCTTACTTTTGATTTTTTGTTCTTTATATGCATCCAACATACTGTTTATTCGATCCTTATCTAATTTTTTAAAATTGAACTTAGATTTATCCGATAAACCAGCCGAAGAGAGATTGCCTTTCTTATAATCTTCTACCATTTGTTCCAATAAAGTTCCTCTCGATCCCTTTATTGAAAACTTCTTTTTCAAATCTTCAGCTTCTAAACCTTCTATTAAATCTAAATGACTCAAAGAAATGTTGAGTTTCGACAGCTTTTTATGATTCTTAAAAATTGTTAGGACAGACAAGTTTTTAATTTGGTTTGAAAGTTTCTTCTCCGGAAAATAATCTTTGATCGCATCAAAATTAACATCGGCTGTTTCGAATTCCTCGAGATTGATCTTGGGAGGTCCAAAGAGCTTCCTTCTGATACGCCTTTTTATTCGTCTGCAAAACCAATTACAAATGCCAAGAACGCATCTAGTGCAACAATTCTTTTTACGTTTACGTGGTTTTCTCTTTCTTGTTTGTGTTTGTTTTGTAGCTCTCTTTTTAGCTTTTAAGCCTTCTAGAAATTCAAGAGTAAATAAGTGTAGATATCATCACACATCTAGGCAATAAAAAAAAAACATGGTTTCACTCTTTTTAAGTCATGATCAAAATTTATTCGATAGAATCAAAAACAAAACTTACTTTTCCTCCAAAATCCGCGCATTTTTTTTTTGTTTTGCCAGTTCAGTCAGAGCTGATCGCTTACGTTATCATTCCGTGGTTTTTAGTTAATCTTACGGTCCCAGTAGTAACATGTGAATGTTTTGTTTTCAGTAAATTTATTTCAAACATATTGATATTCTTGAAAGTTTATTTGCGACATCTGGTTTCTGGTGAACTTATTACAAATATAATAAATAGCAATCCATATTAATCGGCCGTTGAAAGCATACGTTTTTGACAGATCGTTATCAAACAGGCGATGGCAGTTTGAAATGCCATTAGTAGTAAAAATAGTTGCCATCAAAAGTAATCATTATGTCAATATAAAACAGTTTTTATATTTTTAAGCCAAACTGTTACGCAACGGAACGTAATATTTTTTTACAAGTCACACCACGCTGTAATAAGGCATATCTAAAAGTCTTAATTTTTTTTAGTAATATATGACAAAAGCAGGCGAATGTATTATTATTTGTCATTTTATTAAAAAAAAAAGTTTTTTATTTCGCGTAATTTTATATAATATAATTTATTGAGGACCGATTAGTATATTGTTTAGGATATCATTTATTATTTTCCTTATTAATGGTAAGTAAAGATTTACTTTTGTATAATTAAATTCTATTGTTAGTTATGTAGTTTTTTTTATTGAACAAACATTAAAAAGTATAATCCGTAAGCTATTCATGAGTCTGCAAGATGATAAGTTCCCATAACTAATCACTCATCCCACAACTAACAGACGTCAGAATCGCGTTCTCCCTACAGCCCATAGACCTATATAGTAGGGACATGACATATTATTCTATACGTACAATTGCTTATATAAATAGCACCCATTTTGAAGGCACACACATAAACATATATCTATCTCGTTCTTACTCAGCACTTTAACTCGCAAGAAAACAATATAACAGTATTTCAGTGCGTACATAAAATGAAACATGAATATACGTAAATGTCTCCGTCTCCGTCTAATGAGGCCGAAAATCCGCCATGTTTAGCGCGCCAAATGTCATTGTCACGTCAGTTCGGCCGTCTGTTTTGGGTTGTACATTATTTATTGACTTTGATATCGATTTAATATGATTGCTTATATAAAATTTCTTATTTTATCATGCTTAAAACATACAAAAATAATAATTAAAACATATTTTATAGGATCTCAAGAAAGTCGTCGGAACTATTTAAATAAAATAGTTTTATAACACTATTGTCAACTCGTTAAATATTTAATAATTAAGTGATTTTAGAGAGGAAGTCACAAGGAATGACGTTTGTAATTTTATTAACGAATAAATGTTCTGTAGGTTTTTTTTTATCAGGCGGTCCCTTGATAAGTTTAAACCTTCCTTGTACCTTCCTTGAGGTGCGCTGCGGTAGTGTGTTACGGACTTTAGAGTCAGCAAAACAATTAAAATAGATTGTAATAGTCTAAGAAAAACACGTACTCAAAATACGATAACATTCAGCATGCTAGAAATGGGCAGATGGCACTGTACTACGCCATATCTTTATGTTTTGCGGCAAACGACAACTTTATAAAATCAGTGTAGCAAATTTTAAAAATCGTCATATCGTTTACTTGGCAAATTTGAAGCACGAACTCGTCTTAGATTTCACATAATATCTAAATCACATCATCTTTGCACATAACAATATACTTAATTCCTATTAAAGTATAATTTCTACAAATACATTCATACTCAACAATATTTAAAATAAAATAAGCCAAGAACGTTTATCGATAAAACCTACTAACATTAAAATCTTCTGGGCAGCACTAAAGCCGCCATGTTTTGTGGCCAGATGACGTCACAGTGGCACGGATTTTTTGTTGACGTTTCATTTCCATAGGTTTCCTACTTCAATGCTACAGCCGAATTTATAATTGATTCATTTTGTCAAATTTGACATAAGCGTATATTATGGCGCATTAAAAACTCTTCTGGGTACATTAAATCAGTAATGATTTAAAACTAGCAAAGTCTGTTTAATGTTGTGAGATGATTTAGCAATGCAAAGTATCTGACTCGATAAGAAACTACGTATTTTTTATAATTAATTTAACTCAAAACGATTGACCTCGCATTTTTATTGTCATAATATTTTTTCTGAAGTTTCTATTGCTTTACAGTTTTTATGATCACGGATAACTGCCAGTTGATATTTCGAATACTTTACAGTTTTCGTGGTCACGGAAGACTGTCAGTGAACTGTAAAGTGGATACTGTTAAAATAGTTTTAATTACCATTTGTCTACGACTAGCAAATACTGCGTCGTTTTTTTTTAAGCTATTGCATAGCTTTTATCGCGGCGACCGAATCATGAAATTCCGTAACGAAAAAAACCTTACACCCCTCACTCCGCCTACCATGTAGCTCGCATTCAACACATTCACACGTTGCGCTTGTATAGTGTTTGTGAATAAGCGCGTGGCGTGACGTCACACTGCATGCGCATCACGAAAAGTCTGCCCATCTCTCTCTCTCGCGAGGTCTAGCTTATGAGTGTGAATGGGATAGTTAAGGTTTTGCTTTTATTAATGTTTAATATAGCGTGATCTTGTTTTATTATTGTTTTAATATTAAATTATCATTGTCTAATTATAATTGCATAAATTGATAAAAAATGCTATGCAATAGCTTTACCGCGGCAGTTCCCGAGTGCCACACGTTTTTTTCTTTTGTTTTACACTTTCATCGTTAAATAAACTTAAATATTTTATTAGAAAAGACATTTTTACATTAAGTAATTAGTAGAAACATGAAAATGTCATTCATTTTATTTGCACCCACTACTCGCTCGTTCCATATGAATTATTAAAAACAATAAAATTATCCAATCTCAAAGTCACCTAGTATACTATGTGCGTTCAATTCAAATTAATTTATCGGTAAGTTAAACTCTTTTTTATAGTGACTTAATAGGTAGACGAACGAGCATATGGCCAATGTATAATGGTTATCGAAGCTCATGAACTTGATGGGATCATGATCATGGAGTCCCGATGATCGACAATATCCCCTAAATCGGTCATTAAATTAATTACCCTCCTATGTCTTCGACTTTCGAACTTAAATATAATTTAACAAATAAACTTTAATCATTAAATCATATTTTAATAATTTAAAGGTTTCATTTTATGTATCTCATTACAGGTGCCTAATTTTTTATTTTGCATTATTTACAATTAAATGCGCGCCAAAACTCTCATATATAGAACTAGATGTAGTTCCACTGCAAACTAATGATCTCGGGAACGATGTACTCAAACCTGTCAACATCAAAATCTTAAGGGATAACCTGAGTACCTTCCTAGTTAAAAACAGGACATGTGGTTATGATTTTGATGAAAGTAAATGCAAGAATCTGAATAACGTAATAGTATGTGGTTACAACAAAAACATTGGTGACTTCAATGATGAGAAACATATCACGGAGATGGCTAATGGATGTCGTTCTCGTGGAGATAGAGTAGAATGTGGATACGTTATTGGTCCCTTCAAAAATCCAAGACGACCTCCTGTTAACGACATAGACAGTAATGACGCTGATAAAAGTCAAATAACAAACGTACAGAGAAGACAGACAAGCACGAGAACTCAAAAATTAGTTAATGGGATAAATAAACAAGATAGCACTACAAGATTACATTCAGATAATATATTGAGGATTGCCTATAAACATAGAGTGAAAAAACAAGTGAATACTACTCCAGCGGTGGCATCATTAACATGGAACGGAACACTATTGCGAGTGTCAGATTTGTTAAGAAATTTAAATGCCTTCAGAAACATCGTCAACGTCTCAGCTGAGAAATTACTGGAACTGACGGAAACAACAACTTTGAAAACGGTTGAAGAACTTACTTCCAAGTCACCTATGTACTCTCTTTCTGTGAATCCAAAAAGATCTTGTGTAGAGAAAGACGATCGAATCGTATGTTTTTTATTGAGAGAAAAGTGAGTTCTCGTTTCTCGTCCAGTATTTTAATTACTGACTCGCTGTCTTCATTTGTAATTTCTTCCGCGAAAACTGTTTTGGGTTCAGTTAGTAAGTCTAAGTCTATAGTAAAATTTATAATTCAAACAGTTTCTTACTCCCTGGCGTAATTAAATATTTATTTATTATGAAAAACAAAAAATATGACCTATATTTCAATATTATAATTGAAGTTAGCCAAAGAAGAGCTTTATTTAGGGATTACAACATTCCACACCCAGTACATTCCATACCTAATACGTCAAAATACATTTAAAAACGCTACTCATCAACTTTATGAGCTTACATAAGCGAAAAAGCAAATTCCACTGGCGTTTAATATTTTATTCATACATAATAAAATTAAATACATATCGATGCACTCGTATAGAGTCGCTTAGATAGCACGGGCGTCGATAGACAGATATATTCACACTATTTCCATAAATTCTAAAATATGTAGTCCGTTCTTTTTTAAATATCGGCTGACGATCCTCCTTCGATCTCATCGTAAATTATATGACAATGCCAATTTTTTGCACGATCTAACTGCATTTCGCGTATATAACCTGATGTATGCTCGTAATTCCATATCCGGCCTAAATCGTATCGCGCCTAAGTCGTATCCCGCCTAAATCGTATCCCGCCTAAATTAATTAAATGTATCCGCAGAAACGAAAAGAAATCAAGCTATTGAAATATTAAGGATACGTACACGAGTTGTCAATTTCTAAGAGCTATCGTAAATATTATCGTCCACCTAGGTTTGCACTTGTGAAAAATTAGAGAGTCTGTACTACTTAAACGTTAAACATTTACTTAGATGATCATTCTTTGAGACAAAGATTGAGGTCTCCAGTTTCATTGTAAAATGGCCTAATGGACCTTGGGGCTAATGGACGCGTCAAAATAAATCCATGCTTGCTCTCTTACCAATATGATTTTAGTATTTTCTTAGAACATTTGGTGAAAGAAACATAAGCCCATAGATGTTACTGGCGGTAAGTAAAAAAAAAAAAGAAAAAATCTTATGTCATCGTAAGTTGTAGACATGATTAAAACAACTTCTATGGTTTAATATGAGTTTATGGTATTAATTTTCTTATTATTGATATTTGTTCTTTCTTTCTAATAAGGTGTAATTACTCGTCATTTGAATATTATATAAATAAGTTCTTTAATTTTATAAAATTTCTTTATTGAACCTTACGTTTCTGTGTACTCAAAATTATTGTTATTTTGGTTTGTATTCTCAAAAAAAACTGTGAGCTTTTGAGTACATAACATAAATCATCACCATCATTAACAGCCTATTTTAGTCCACTGTTGGACATAGGCCTCTCCCATAGTGCGCCATTCATATACATAAACACCCTAAAATATTTTAAGCTAGTCAAATTCTAATATTCCGATGACGATTACATTATTCGTATGTTATGATGATCATTTGAAACAGAAACCAGTCTGAATAAATCAGTAGACTCCGAAGACACCTAACCGCTAATCTTAATTTTTATTCGACTGGTAATCCTTGAAATGTTAGTTGTTATAATACGTATTTATTTTAATTTTTGTGTCATAATTTGAATGACCTCGGAGTTTTTAACAAATCTAGGATAGTTGATGTACAATGACAGCCGCCTAGTAGGGTCATAAATTCTAGCACATCATTTTTATATACCAGTATGTACTAATAAGAATAAACTGACTTAAAATGACGATTAATAATATTTATGAACCTAAGAACGAACCTAAGAACGAGCTCTCAGCCTACCTAGTGCTAAGTGGTTACTGGAGCCCAAAGACATTTACAACGTAAATGCGCCACCCACCCTGAGATATAAGTTGTAAGGTCTCAAGTATAGTTACAACGGCTGCCCCACCCTTCAAACCGAAACGCATTACTGCTTCACGGCAGAAATAGGTAGGTGGTACCTACCCGTGCGGACTCACAAGAGGTAGACCTTGCTTACCTATGCTTAGTAAAATAATGTCTTTTTAATCATACATCGTTATTTGTTTAGAGATCATTACAATGCTTTAGAACTTTAGAGCTATTGTTATTGTTGTTGTAGTCCTAGGGTACCCCGCTGGTAAATAGGGCCCTCACAAGTTGTCTCCACTTGACCTTGTCTTGCGCTTGGTACTTGACATCACTCCAGATCATTTCGGCAGTCCTCGTCACGCTCTCCACGGTGTGTCGCCAAGTGTACAGGGCGACCAGGTCTTCTCCTGCCACGCGGTTGCCACTCAAACGCTTTAGTTGGGAAAAAATGTATTTCACAAATTTAGGTTCCCCTAGTTATATGTGTTCTGTGAGGAAATCAATGAAACATTTATATGACGTCGAGATGCCCGTCGTTGTGAGGTGCACTCATCACTCACATACAAACAAACACCCACCTGGCTGTGCCCGTGCTCGCTGACCGCTCCTGAGTGAACTGGAAAAGCCTCCGTGCCACCAGTAATCCTTCCTTCACAAAAAAAACAAACAAACAGCCTAGAATACGAACTATAAAAACACACGCAATCTATTTTAATTTGATTTAATATTTATTATATTTGAATTATTGTATCACTCTCACACGGCACTCTTCACAAGTTAGTGCTATTTTCTAAAGTGATTTATGCGATCAATTCACACCAACAAGGGTTCAATGTACATTTGAGAAAGAGGATGAGGCTTGGTAAAACCAGTCGTCTCCTAAAAAGCACATTGAACTTAAATCACGTCTAAGTGCTATTTTAAGATTTCATACTACATCCTGGACGCTACGCAGATTTCATTTTTACTCGACAATGGAAATTTTATTGAACTTAATTTATGAATTCGGCTGTTTGATTTGCATTTTCTAAATTTAATTTTAAAACGTGATTATTTGAAAAGTTCTCGTTTAAATTTCGAGTCAATCCGCAAAAATCTGACAAACTAATAGTTTCATAAAATATTGCTATATTTGCGTAGCATACAACAAATTATATTTATACATTTCTTACATTTATAAAGTACAGCTCAAGCCCGACCCGTTTTGCTGGCCAATTTTGGTTTGGCTTTAAATATACACACATCGACTTTTATATATAGGGAAATTAAAGTTTTAAATTAACAAATTAAAAATAAAGGTTGATCGTAGAAGGGTGAAAATTTAGGGTCGTATGTATTTTTGTATGCTGTATCATAAAAAATAAAAACAAATTTTTTGGTATAAAAAATAAAAATAAAAATTTAAGGGTGGACCCACCCTTAACATTTAGGGGGATGAAAAATAGATGTTGTCTGATTCTGCACCTTGGCCAGTATGCACGCTAATATTCACAAAAATCGGTCAAGCCCTTTCGGAGGAGTTCAATCACGCACACCGTGACACGAGAATTTTATATATTAGAGATACAGACTACGTACGTGGGAGTTTGGTTTTCCCACACTAGCCAATACTAGCATCGATGAGGAATCCAGTGGGGGAGGGTGGTCCAGTTTAAAAGATAGCTATGATTTTAATTAAACCGAGTCGTCGCGTCTCGAGTTAGATAATTTACGATATCGTTCATTACGAATCATTTACGATTTATTATACTTCAATACTATTTACTAGTTAGGTGTGATTGCTTTTGACCTCGTTTGGCTAACTACGTTAAAAATAAACCATTAAAGTTAAATGACATAATTGGTAGTTAGACGATAGTTACAAAGCCTTGGAATTAGAATATAATTAAGTTTTGAACAAGCACAAAATAAAATTAAAATCGTTAATTAAACCAAATTTAGGTTGTTTACTTTTAAAATGTATTAAGTTAATCAAAGTCATATTCATTTAATGAGGCCATCAAAACCGGAACAGTTATACTTTTAATGTATTAAGTTAATTAATTGGTATAAATTATTTATTACTCAATTTTTTCTTCAAGTTTAACTTTTGAATTGACTCCTTGATATAAATATTTTAATTTGAATCAGATTTAATTACGGAATAACATAAAATTAATAGTAACAGAAGAGAGTTGATTGTGATTTCAAAACACCAGTGCCATAATTGTCATGAATGGAAATTAAGCTATGCTATACTGTTGATCACTATTACAAAGATAAGGGTATTTTTCCTTTTGCCTAAGTTTAAAATGTCAATGTTACTGCAGCAATATTATTTGTATCCTATTCACCTATTAGATTAAAGAATAAATTTATGCTGTGAAAAGCTTATTAATGGTGGTGACACTTTCTCCTTCTTTTTTTTCGGGCCGGGGTCCGAACCTCCTACGAGGTCCCCGCGCCTAGGGGGCGCGCAGGGTATGTGGGACTTGACGATCTGCAAGGTGTTGGGAGTAGACCGCGGGCCCAAGGAATTTTAGGGCCCTACCGCACTAAACGACTCCCCTGCACTCTTACACCCGACGTCCGATCACCGTCCAGGGTCAGAACCCGGTCAGAGTAGGGGGGTTCCCGCGGTCAACACTACAACTAGACACGCGGCGCCACCCCGAGGACACTCGCTCCTAACTCAACCCCAACTCTTCAATCGCTCTTTGTTCTGATTGTTCCACGATATTTGCAAGATCTTACAAATTCTGCTCGGTAAACTATTGTAACGATACAAGTGTTACAGCTAGAAACTATTCGTCATCTTGCGTACTCGGCAATCCTAGCTTCCATTATCATTAATTTTTTTTCAGAATAAGATAGTGTCCATGAAGAGAAAACACAATCTTGTAAATGAAAAATGACTACTACTTAAATTTACCACCGGAAAAATGTTTTCATAGTCCATTCAGATTTCCAGATCTCTATCGCATAATCAATCTTCCCTCGAGATGTTGGAAACTTACACACGGTCAGAATAAATAAATCGTTTCAATTATTATTTAACTATTTAAGAGGTGTTGCAATTTTTGGATAACAAAACGCCAATTTTATGCACCAATAATTCTTTTTTTTTCTATTGCCTTTGTAGGCAGACGAGCGTAGGGCCCACCTGATGGTAAGTGGTTACCGTCGCCCATGGACTTCAGCAATGCCAGGAGCAGAGCCAAGCCGCTGCCTACTGCTTAATACTCTCCACAAGCCTCGTTTGAAGAAGGACATGTCATAGCGCTCGGGAAACACCGTGGAGGGGAGCTCATTCCATAGCCGGATGGTACGTGGCAAAAAAGACCTCTGGAAACGCACTGTGGATGACCGCAGTGGCTCCAGGTAGTATGGATGAACTCTACTCCGGTGGCGGGCGGTGCGATGGTAAAAACGAGACGTTGGTGTCAATTCTCGAACAATTCCTCATTCAACAATTTCTCAATAATTCATTTCCAAAACTAAATTGTAGGAATGAAACCTGCTCGTATTGTAAAATACAAAATCGCATGCGTTCGCATAAAGTATCTCGTGCAGAATGAAACTAAAACGTACAAAAAAAATCTATAGAAAAGAACGTAAAATTGTTTGTACAAATCCACGTGTAAAATCCGTATCTCCACTAATAGAAAATTTCATTTGTCACAGTTAAGCTTAATGAGTGTTTTCCTCCGACCAATTAAGTATTTAAATAAAATTTCGAGCTTTGTTTTGAAGTATTTTCTGTGATTATGGCAAGGAAACATTAACAGTGCATTGTAGATCTTCGATTTTGGCTTTTTGAGATTTTTGTTTAACGTTATACAATTGTGTTTCCTTTTGTAATTTTATGAATTTCTTATTTGCATTACAATGTTACAGATTCTATAATTTAGAAGCCTATTCCATAAATTACGTAACTATTTTTTATTAAAAAAAAAACATGCTTTTTCTTAACTGGTAGCAAAAGAAATCATTTTTTTTATGAAACGAATCCCCCTTTAAAACGTAATAAAAATGTATGCAAAACGAACTTTTATCACAGATCCGAGACAGGTTTTAATATATTATTAGAGCCGCCAATCCAGTAACGCCTGAATTTTAATAGTCCCACATATTAATTATATGGACATAAGCTGTTGTTTACTTGCGATTAGTCACAAAGATCCGAGTCCATCTGCCTGGTATATATATAGGTCTCCACGACAACCACACATTAGTAGTTCACAAACTGACACAATGAAGACTGTGAGTAAATTATTTCAATTAAATTAAATTTAATAATTAAAAATCAGTATTTTTAAATAGTTTTTAAAGTATTCAGTAGATATTCAAGGGTTAATTATTTTTAAGGTGATTTTTTTATCACACAATTAGGATCACCAACACTACTTCTGGTCTTAGTTTACGGGAATGGCTCTATACAGCATGTAACAATATATGTTACGAAAACAACTTTATTTATATTTTAAAAAAACTAGCTTCTTATATATATATTTTTTTTTGCTTAGATGGGTGGACGAGCTCACAGCCCACCTGGTGTTAAGTGGTTACTGGAGCCCATAGACATCCACAACGTTAATGCGCCACCCACCTTGAGATATAAGTTCTAAGATCTCAAGTATAGTTACAACGGCTGCCCCACCCTTCAAACCGAAACGCATTACTGCTTCACGGTAGAAATAGGCAATATTCACACGTTATGCTATATTATATTTTTCGCTTTTATACAGCATAAGATGATGATCCTAATGTCAATTTTTTCACTAGATTATCTGCGTTGCTTTATTGGCATGCGTGTGCATGGCGTACGCCGCACCTCCCCCATCGGCTGTCGAACCAGCCAAGGCTGACGAGCTTCTCCAACCGGAAGAAACTCATTGGGGTGGACGGGGTTGGGGCCACTCTGGTTGGGGCCACGGAGGACACGGGGGCTACGGTCGCGGTTATGGAGGATACGGTGGATACGGCGGACACGGCGGATACGGCGGCTATGGCGGATACGGCGGTTATGGCGGATATAGCGGATATGGTGGACTAGGTGGATGGGGATACGGAAGCGGCTTTGGCGGCGGTTACGGCTACGGCTGGAAACGCTAATTCCAAACACCAAAATCTAATTTAATTTTTTACATTAACACCCGGTATTACCATCTGTGATGATGAATTTTTATTTCGAGTAAACTTTTTTTTTCAACACTAAAATATGTTTTATTTTTCTACTACAATTAAGAAAACTACCTTTTTATGACGGATATCCATAATGAAATCAAATTACACGTAGCAAATGATATGTGCCTTCTTTAGATTATATTAGCAAGCCCAGTGGTAATTTTTCAATGCCCTTCTTGTAAAAGTTAGGTGTACCGAAGCCATCAAACTCTTCAAAGGCATTTTGCATTGCCACTCGGGGGTAGATTAAATATCGTCAACTTCCTCTATGGTCTTTAGTTCGTCGTTATTGACTTCAGTTTTCAGGTGACCACGTTGTTCATTTTTTAGATCAAAATTTTCAATGTCAGCCGCGTTCAAATCAATGACGAGTTGTGCGGTCGATTGTAGTTTGTTTTTATTTTTATTGCTTAGTTGAGTGGACGAGCTCACGGCCCACCTGATGTTAAGTCATTACCGGAGCCCATAGACATCTACAACGTAAATACAACAAACCACCTCGAGACATGAGTTCTAAGGTTAGTTTTTTACAGTACAACGGCTGTCTCACCCTTCAAATCGAAACGCATTACTGCTTCTCGGCAGAAATAAGCAGGGTGGTGGTACCTACCCGTGCGAACTCACAAGACGTCCTACCACCAGTAATTATGCAAATTAAAATTTTCTGGGTTTGATTTTTATTACACGATGTTATTACTTAATCGTGGAAGTCAATCGTGAACATTTAAGTAGGTACCTACGTATTTCATTAGAAAATGGGTAACTGCCGCGGGACTCGAACACTGTTGCATCGCTAGATACGACTGCACCTGGCGTCTTATTCTTTAGGCCACGACGACTTCAAAAAGGACATGTTTTTTTTTTTTAATTTTTTTTTTTTTATTGCTTAGATGGACGGACGAGCTCACAGCCCACCTGATGTTAATTGGTGAGTGGAGCCCATAGACATCTACAACGTAAATGCGCCACCCACCTTGAGATATAAGTTCTAAGGTCTCAAGTATAGTTACGACGGCTGCCACACCCTTCAAACCGAAACGCATTACTGCTTCACGGCAGAAATAGGCAGGGTGCTGGTACCTACCCGCGCGGACTCTCAAGAGGTCCTACCACCAGTACAAATAAAGTTTAAGACAACTTATTTATCTAACGAAAAAAATTGAAGGAAGCATTTCCATTCAAACAGTATTACGCACATTTTTGTGCAATAAAAAAAATATCTAAACAAATCTACGTTCCAGTTTCAGCGAATAACGGTAGACTTGGCTCTGCCCCTGGCATGCAAAGCCCATGGGCGACGGTAACTACTCACCATCAGGTTGGCCGTATGCTCGTCTGCCAATAAGGGAAAAAAAGCTGTTGTAATATAGAAGCTGACTTCAAAAATCGGTGAATTACCTCAATTTAACTATACTTGAGACCTTAGAACTTATATCTCAAGGTGGGTGGCGCATTTACGTCGTAGATGTCTATGGGCTCCAGTAACGACTTAACACTAGGTGGGCTATGAGATCGTCCTCCCACCTAAGCACCAAAAAAAAAATTCGTTGAAGAAGTATCATTTGTTAATCAATCTGTCTATCGGAAAAAAGTGTAAATACTGGATAAATGGTGTATATTTCTTTATTTGGTATTGTAGTGTTCGGATTTTTAATATTCTCATTAATTATCGTCATTTTCACCTCACAACAAAACATGGCAGGATTTTATTTTGTGATACCTAAATAGTTTTTGATTTTACCATCAATGTATAGGGTGGGCAAAGCTTACAGGCCAAAGGCGCTGAATCTCAAAGCACGTCACTGCAGAAGGGCACGTACTTATATCTATTTAGAGCAATAAATAAACAAAGACAACAATAGCCGAACTCGAACATAGCTCTCACTCTCTCTCTATCCTAGGGATTCGCAGGTAACTATCCGACTTAAAACGTCCAGCGTAATCATGTGATCTTTGTAATGAGATACTATTACTATTTTTTTTTACTGATCCTTGGTAACCTAAGGGCTACTCCAACTACGCACGGCTTGGCTGGTTAGCTCCCGGGGCTCAACCTGGGAGGTTTTGCTAACACTAACATTATGCCCTAGGACATTGCTTCGTTGAATCTACCACTGGACTGGGATTACGACCCACTGAGAAGATCCGGCGAGAAACTCAGTGGGCGGTGGTGGGTTTACTGGTGGTAGGACCTCTTGTGAGTCCGTGCGGGTAGATACCACTACCCTGCCTATTTCTGCCGTGAAGCAGTAATGCGTTTCGGTTTGAAGGGTGGGGCAGCCGTTGTAACTATACTGAGATCTTAAAACTTATATCTCAAGGTGGGTGGCGCATTTACGTTGTAGATGTCTATGGGCTCCAGTAACCACTTAACACCAGGTGGGCTGTGAGCTCGTCCATCCATCTAAGCCAAAAAAAAAATTGTGATGCTACGACAAAGTTTCATATTAGAGAGAGAGAGAGAGAGAGAGAGAGAATACACTTTATTGCACACCAACACAATTTACATTAAAAAAAAACAGTCAAAAAGCACATATGTACTATAGGCGGTCTTATCGCTAAAAGCGATCTCTTCCAGACAACCGTTTAATTTACAGAAATTCTGTAAAATATAAAAATAAAAATATAGCAGGTATGTTGCGGTGTACCATATACAATACACTATTATAGAAAATATATACATATAATAAACAAATATATACCGTTTACATAATATAATATATACCAATATACATACTTACATACAATACATACTAATATACTTACACACACATAATAAATCAACAGTATGGAAATTATAAATGATAATGATGCAACAAACAGCACTAAGCAGATAAGTAGTTTCTTCACCATTCTTTTAAAACAGTTTAAAGTTGGAGCACTTCTCACTGCATCCGGCAAAGCATTCCACAATCGAACCGCCTGGACGGTGAATGTATACGTCTACTGTATTCGTAATTTTAAATTGTTGCTGTCGATGAGACAAAAATTCATGACCCTCCTAGTATTAAGTGGCTACAGAATCCTAAAGACATCATAACATGAAAATCACTGTTCACATCAAGCAAATTCAGCTGTCAAAATATCTCATACTTCCGACGCATCAACTCTTGACAAAAGTTGAATTTATTTAAAGATCTCCGAATCCAGTTTTAAACCACGCTAGTTCTAAAACATGATCCATATATACGGAAAATATATATCAAAGATATTCGATGTAGGTACTCATACCACATACGTATAAAACCTGTGAGGCCAGAATTACAGTACACATGTCACATTACTAAGTTATATACTTGGACAACAAATTTAGAAGAATTGGAGGAATGTTTTGTTACGTTTTAAAGCACAAATTTACTACTAATAAATTGAAGTTTTTCGCCAGAGAATAATAATACAATATATGTATTAATATATTTACACTTAGAAAGAAAGATCGCCGATCGAATACATATTTCTGAATTGGTTTAAAAAAAATTGCTACACAAAATAACCTATGTATGAAACATACGCAGACGACACGTTGGTCGTGGCCCGGGGGGGGAGTTTCGCTGAGTCTGCCCGTCTTGCTACGGCTGGGGTGGCGCATGTCGTCGGCAAAATCAGGAGATTGGGCCTCGAAGTGGCACTCAGTAAATCCGAGGCCATGTGGTTCCACAGGCCCCGGAGAGTGCCACCTGTCGATGCCCATATCGTGGTTGGAGGCGTCCGGANCGCTGCCTACCGAAATACACATACGCTATAGTACCAACCAAAAAAACAATTACATTCGTTTTTTTAGACGGGCACTGGGCTCACCTGACCATTTTTTCTGTAATTCGATTTTATTTCTAAGATAGTAAAACTAATTTGGCCTAATACACATTTGGTAGGTAGGTAACATAGCTTAATATTCTACAGGTTTAATTTATCTAGAATATTTCCAACCAAGATCCCTGAAACATAGCAAGGTCGACCGTGAGTTTGATCACCCCGTCTAGGCAATTACATAAAATTTGAACCTCAAATAACAACCTCTTGTCTCAATGTTGAGTTACGACAATCACACTTAATGATTGGTATTTCTTGCACCCATTCACTCGTCTATACAATAAAATAAACCTATATCTCCTTAATTTCTTTCATCACTTGCCTACAATTTTACTGTACTACTGTACCATAAGATTCTAGCTGATTCCGGTGACTCAGATCGTCTTCATCTTTGTTAAAAGTATTTGGTAGGCATGAGGTCTAGGCAGGAACATGTTTTTGTTTCGTATGTGTGTTCACAGAATAAAATCCTAGTCTAAGACATCCTCGAATACAAAACGTTTAATAATCGCTATTACATATTTACCATTATTATACATATATCATTATTATATTTTAAAATAAGCGTGATACTGTTTTAATCAATATGAAAATTTTAAAACATTGTAATTTTTTCTATAATTATCATCATCATCATCAGCCCAGTCGTCCACTGCTGGACATAGGCCTCTCCTAATCCACACCTCTGAGCCCGGCCTTCGACTCTCCTCATCCACCTCCTGTGGGCCTCCTTTCGGAGGTCATCGCACCACCTAGCCAGGGAGAGTTCCACATTGCGTTATCCGCTCCGCGGTTTCCACTCGGAAGCCTGTTTGCTCCAGCGATCGTCAGTTCTAAGGCATATATGGCCAGCCCAGCTTACTGACTCTTTGAACTATGTCGATGTGACCAGAAAATATTGCGTAGAATAAAAATTTTGAGGTGACTCAACTGATCACGTGAGCTTAAGAAACTATTAAACGTCTCAATTAATCTTCAAAATATACGTCTAATAAGTAAGGAGGCTTGAGGAAAATGTGATCATAAAAATAAAAACCGTAATTTGTATTAGAACAAATCATAATAACATCACGCAAAAAGCCAAAACTGGATTTAAATACAGAGTTAAGAATTGTATTACCCTGAAATTCATTAAAAATTATATCGCTCTAAGCTGTTGTACATAAAATTTAATAAAATGAGAATGATTTTATAGGTATAACTTTTGTTGTCGAGTACTTCAATAAAAATAGACCTTAAATCTCCTTGATTATAGGTATTAAAATAAAAACTAATACAGAAGGCCGCATTCACGGTGTGATATCTATGAGCTTCGGTGACCACTCAACCCCTGGCTCGTGAAGACACGATCATCCATCACCCATATTTGGTATTAAAAAAAAACATAAAATATGAGTATCACTATTAGACAAATAATCTTCAATGCGCTTGTGTTCACCAATTATTTATTTATCAAATGCTTAACTATAAAAATATCAAAAAAAGTGCGGTGTCCCAAGTTCCAATATCGATCAAAATATCTATTTTTTTTATACATATACGACAAAAAAAACTATACGCAGGCAATGAGTTAGTAAAACTATAGAAAGGCCAATGTCACGCAATTTATTAATAAAATAGTGATGGTATCCGTAGGTCATAAAGTTTTCGGCAAAACTTTCGGCAACCTAACGATGGTGTGTGACGAAATGTTTCATAAATGACGAATTTTAGATTTGTGTTCATATCTAAACATCACGTATATCTATTTCCTTAAAAATAATAACATCTTTTGCGTCGCAATTAACAGAGCTTTTCCTCTTCGAACCATTTAAATAGCTACTCGTGGTCAACCGAGGCATACACTGTTCCGACAGCACTCCAAGATGAACATTGTAAGTACAATTATATTTTAATCTTTATGTACTCTGCAATTCAAGAAAATCTTTATGTACTCTGCAATTCAAGAAAATTGTTAACTCGGGGTCACTAATTTAAAACATTTTTTTATGTATATTTTTCATTGTTTAAACAAATGTTATTGTCAGTACCTACCTTAATTGCCTAATTTCAAAATGAACAGGCAGTACAATTTTGTTTGTTTAGACATGTTCATTATCTTTACAATTATTTTATTTATTCAAAATAATCACGTACTTTATCTTTAGTACATAATAAATTAAAATTAGGATAGTAAGTAGTAGTTCATCTATGGTGAACACATTTGCAATGCAAATAAAAACGTGAATAGATATACATATTCTCATTTTTAAATTGAATATTGTTATAAACCATTATTGATTGTTTAATAGAATCTAAATTTATTCGTGAATTTCATTATCTTATTTAGTCCTACAGCATTAGCTAGAACTAATTATTCATTTTTTATTATCTTTAATTAACTTCATCAAATTGTCAGAGAGTAACTCTCAATCTAGCCAATTTAATTAGTGAGCACTCTATGCCCCCTTATGAGTTGCAATTGCAGTCTTGGCTATTTTCTTTGCGAAGCAGTAAGCGGTATTCCAACTCACAGCCTTGATACCATAAAATTGAGACTTCGCTCTAGTGTCTCAAGAAGTGTGACAGAATTCACGTTTCGATGCCTTTCTTCCATTCTTTAAAGATATATTTTCTGCTCCGGTAACACTTTAACACTAGGCGGACTGTAAACCTATTTACCCACTGAATCTATACATATAAATAAAATTGGAGTGTCTGTTTGTAATATTGAAATAACCACTTTTTACTACATGCATATGAATATATATACGGTACATACAACAAAATAACGTTTTTTACAATTTTGGTTTGTTTGTTTGTCTGTCTGTCTGTCTTTTTGTTCCTGCTAATCTCTGGAACGGCTAGGCGGATTTTGACGAGACTTTCACTGATAGGTACCTGATGATATAACGAGTAACTTAGGCTACTTTTTTTAGACTAACTTTGCCCCGCGGCCTTACCCGCGGTATGACAATAACCGCGGGTAACATCACGGGACTTAGCTATCAATAATAAAATTTAATGTTTCCGAAGCGTAGCGAGGGCGGGTTTCTAGTATACAATACATATATCTTAAGCGATGCTTGACGTATGTCATTTCACATAACTACACAAAGCCAAAACACGCTTGAGTAGAATCACATTATAATTTCGACAATTGATAATTTTTCAGTTCTACTATATCACTGTTTTGATCTGTGCGTGCCTCGCATATGTCTCCGCTCTCCCTTCGGCCATCGCGGGAGCTGAAGACCTCCAACCTGCCGAGTCTCGTTGGAATCATGGCGGTGGACACCACGGCGGTGGACACCACGGCGGCGGTCACCACGGTGGTGGTCATCATGGTGGCCATGAAGGCTACAAAGGTGGTTATGGACGCGGACGCTAACTGCCTTTTAAAAAGCTGTTTACATGAATAGTCTTATCAAGTTAAGGAGCAACAAATTTTAATTTGTGACACATCTATTACCTATAACTACAGACTTATAACGTTAAAATTAAATTATTACCATCTTATGTGATGCATTAAATTCAATTTCAAAGAACTTGACAAGCAGTAATTGTGTACCATTAGTTAAATCACTTACAAATGAATTGTATTTTTAAATTTAATATTAAGTTAAGCACTATGTACAATGTCTTCTAATTTTTAATATGAATAATAAAAAGTACAAAATTTCCTATTTTCTTTTAAATTTCGAGTCCCTTTAAAACCAAGATTTATGTATTACATGAGTAGAACTGATTTCCAAATATTTTGTATTAGTAGACTCTATTTTGATGTGGTACCCACATACTATTTGATCCTTTGCATACAGTACGATTCTTTAGAAAAAAATACTTAGTACAAGGCGATTTAATTTAAAATGAAATGACAGAACTGATCATTGAACTGAACATCCACTGATCAATTATCTATTTTTACACTAACGTTAAATGCCAAATGATTTTCAATAATTTGTGACACTTCAATGAACGGCAGATTGGTTAATTAATTCTTATGTTTTTACGCTTATAAATACCTAATATTCTAGATGCAAACTGGTTTTATGTATTTCGTCTTGTTTAAAGAAGTTAGTCTACCTAATAAAACAGAACGACGGTGGTTATAATCCATATGACAGTAAAAAGTTATGGATTTAAAATCCGATTTTAATTTTAAAATGCTTTTAATTTTTTTGTTTCATTACCGTGATTCGATTAAATAAGTAACAAATTAATTCTGGAAATCGTTTTGATAATTATTTCGCGACTCGCACAATTCATTAGATTATTACATACGTATAAGACATTTTAGCGTTGCTTTGAACATTTTATGTATAAACTAGTGGCCCCGCAGTAGTCGAAATTCGACTATAATTAATTAGAATTGTACGTTTGTACACTATTATGATTGTATTTTATACTTCTATAGGCACAAATTTCGCCAAGGCTACACTATAAAAAAATATTAATAAAGACAAACAATATTTAATCTTTTCTCAATTTGACCACAGACGTCAAGAACAAAAGTTTGACAATAAATAGTATGCATGCGTGTATGCGTCAAATACATGGTATTTAGTGTGTGTAATGTTTTCTTTATTGATTTTATGTATCTTTTATGCATTATTTTAAAAAAATATTAGCATTCTGCACTTCTTCTCTATATTCTCTATAAGTGTGGAAAATTTCATACTCCTCCGTCCGCGCAATTTTCGTAAAAAGGGATACAAAGTTTTTGCTTCACGTATTAATATATAGATAGTATAAATAATCATGGTAAACAGAGTCGGCTTATGAAAACAGCGGCATTGGTGTATGCCTAGCATTGGTGATGTCCATAAGTGACATGTCCAAAATAGGAATTGCAGTAGCATAGCCGTATTTATTCCTGCGAGAAATCGCAGGTTCGAGATCCGGCACCAGTGATGCCGGTTCAGTAAATAATAGGTGCGTTAGAAAAAAAAGGTGAATTATTGTTTATATGTGTTACAGAATTAAGTATATGATACTTACCTAACATGTTACACGAACGGCTATACAAAATACAATCAGATAGACGACAAGGCTATTTACCCTTTATTAAAAAAAAACTTAGCCTTAATAAAGTTGTTATTTGAACGTTAGGTATGACATATTAAACTCATAACTACCTACGTTTAAATGTTACCTAAATTCTTTTAGATTTTTCGATAAGTTACGTATAAATAATAATAATAATAATAATAAACCTTTATTGCTGTTAAAATTTACAATACTTATATCTAAATATTAGGATTTTATTATATACTAGCGACCCGCCCTCGCTTCGCTTCGGAAACATTAAAACACACATGAAACCAAAAAAATAAAATTAAAAAAATAAATAAAAAAGTAGCCTATGTTCATCAGGGACAATGTCGGCTTCTAATGGAAAAAGAATTTTTCAAATCGGTCCAGTAGTTTCGGAGCCTATTCGAAACAAACAAACAAACAAATCTTTCCTCTTTATAATATTAGTATAGATTTTAAGTATCGACGTCCGGTATGTTTAGGAAACAGCTTGTCTTTCGACATAAGCCTCCTCTAATGTTACATATAATAAAATAAAAATAATACATATAAAACCAGAATAAACTGTAAAAATAGTTTTAATTATGTCTAAGAAGACTCTTGAAAACCGAAGATAACTACGAGTAGGTACAACAGCAACATTAAACTCAAATAACATAAATCGACCAAACACTACAAATATTTAACCGACCTTGATCTATAACGTAAACCAAGCCAGTTATCCAGCAGTGGGAGAAAGCCTTTCCCCGTGACCTTCAAACATAATGTTCCCGGTCCCAGTTCAAAACTATCGTTCTTGTTAACAACACTGAGCTCGTGTCACTGTGTCCTTCAAACTATAATTAACTATCAACTAAGAAGAGTCTGTCTCGAAATGATTGTAAGTACTTAGTGGTTATTTGTGTAGCGATAAATAAGTCCTAACCTAACCTAACCTAAGACCTAAACTGTTGTATAAAATAAACTTAAAATAAACAAAAGGAATCCGTGCGACGCGGAACAAAGGAAAACCAATTGTTATTTTTATTTAATTCCTAGCATTTTCATATTTATTTACATTTTAAACCTTCTCTGGGATTCCACAAATAATTCAAGACTAAAATTAGCCAAATCGGTCCAGCCGTTTTCGAGTTTTAGCGAGAATAACGAACAGCAATTCATTTTAATATACTTAGTATGGCCATAAATACTGTTACAATTAAATACAAACAAAATATTACATTTGAATTTGGAATCTGTCATTTTTATATGATGGCTCATTGAGTTTTCTCATTTTGGCGCCAAAACATTGTACAATATTTTGCGATATTAAAATGGAGTGGGGTGATAAAGAGAACCGAATCACTTTGATTGCATTACACAAAGTAGGTATGGAGCCAAATGCAATTTTTAAAACTCTCCATACGCTTGGTATTAGTAAAATGTTTGTGCACCGGGCTATTAATAGGTGCAATGAGACTTCCTCTGCTTGTGACAGAAAAAGATCTGGCCGTCCACGTAGTGTTCGTACGAAAAAGGTGGTCAAATCAGTAAGGGAAAGAATTCGAAGAAATCCTGTCCGAAAGCAAAAGATTTTATCTCGGGACATGAAGATAGCACCTAGAACCATGTCGCGTATTTTAAAAGATGACTTAGGACTTGCAGCCTATAAGAGACGTACTGGTCATTTCTGAACTGATAATTTAAAAGAGAATAGGGTGGTAAAATGGAAACAACTACTCAAGCGGTACGCAAAGGGAGGTCATAGAAAATTTTTGTTTACGGATGAGAACATTTTTACAATTAAGCAACATTTTAACAAACAAAATGACCGTATTTATGCTCAAAGCTCTAAAGGAGCTTCCCAATTAGTCGACAGAGTGCAACGTGGACACTATCCGACATCAGTGATGGTTTGGTGGGTATTAGCTAAGAAGGAGTGACTGAGCCATACTTTTGTGAAAAAGGTATCAAAACATCGGCACAAATGTATCAAAATACTATTCTTGAGAAGGTAGTGAAGCCCCTTAACAACACCACGTTCAATAATCAAGAATGGTCCTTCCAGCAAGACTCGGCGCCAGGTCATAAAGCTCGGTCTACGCAGTCTTGGTTAGAAACGAACGTTTCGGACTTCATCCGAGCTGAAGACTGGCCATCGTCTAGTCCCGATCTTAATCCGCTGGATTATGATTTATGGTCAGTTTTAGAGAGTACGGGTTGCTCTAAACGCTATGATAATTTGGAGTCCCTAAAACAATCCGTACGATTGGCAGTGAAAATTTATCCCATGAAAAGAGTGCGTGATTCTATTGATAACTGGCCTCAACGCTTAAAGGACTGTATTGCAACCAATGGAGACCACTTCGAATAAGCTTTTTATACTTTAAATTGTTTTATATTTATGTACACACTGTAAAAGTAATAAATGTTATTTGCAATAGAATTTTTTTAATTTTTAATTGTAACAGTATTTATGGCCAGACAGTATTTATAGCCAGTATATAGAATTTAGCTTACGAGTGAATGAGATAGACTTCTGAAGGTTTCACTTCTACTGCTTGGGAATTTATTTTTAGTATCTGCCTGATAGTCTGACAACTCTCACACAATGCACGCATTCTCATTCACTCATCCAATCGTAAATTACAATTAAACTGAATCAGTCAAGAAATAATAACAGTTTTAGTTATCAAATGAAATTAGATGATGTTTCTATGTCAGTCAAGCATTGAATTAAAATCGATATTTCTACTGGCTATTTGTCTAAGGATTAACATTTGAAGCTTTTTTTTATCTAGATAAGTGATCGATTGATCGTGTCGTAAGATTTATTACCATTAAATGTTTTACATAATACGATCGTCAGAGCTATCTTGCCCCTATCTTGGCCCCAACGTGTAGTTCGACACTAGGATAAATTAAGCTTATCTTGAAAACATCGTTAACCCGATAAAAAAATTTGTCATATTTCTTTTATCGATGATAGTTATCGTTGCATATTATTTGACCCCTTACGCTACGGAAGACCGTTCATTAAATTAAGGACCATAATTTTACCTTCGATAAAGAACAATCCAATTACATTTTACAAATAAAATCATCATCAGGCATTCTGTTTCAGATAAATTTGGTAACCTTGTCGATTTATCTACAATTCACAATGAGCGCTGTCTTGGATCCAGCCTTATATCTAGTACCGAGTCCACCGTTCACAGAAAAATCTCCAAACGAGAAATGGTCAAGATCTGATGATCACAGAATAGAAAGGGATACGTCCACGGAATCAGCGCCAGGTACCATTTACACATAAATGTACAATAACTTCTCAAACACTCAAAGATTACTCAAGCACCAAAGTACACATAACAGAAACAATCAAAAATTTTTTTTCCAAAATTCTAAATAACTTTAAAATCATATAAATTAAAAAAGGTTTTGCCCGCGACTTCGTCCGCGTGGAATACATATAGTTCACAAATAATGCTTTATTTGAGAACAAATTTGTTTAACATAAAAAACGTTATAGTTAGTCAACCTATAGACATATGCTGTCTTTCGCGGACTTTTTTTCAGATCTTTTAAAGGGGAACAATTCTCTCATACATTACTTTAGCGAAACTTTAATCGTTTCCGCAGCGCACGCAGTGGAAGCTATCATAATGGATTAAAACCCCGATTTTGAAACATTATTTATTGGTGCTCCGCTTGCATTGGTCTTAGCGTGATGTTATACCTATAGCCTATAGCCTTCCTCGATAAATGGGCTATGTAACACTAAAAGAATTTTTCAAATAGGACCAGTAGTTCCTGAGATTAGCGCGTTCAAACAAACAAACGCTTCAGCTTTATAATATTAGTATAGATAAAATCACTTAATTTCAGCGAGCGGTTGCGTTACAAATAAAGAGAACAGTGAAGAAGTTATGACGACATCTGAAACATTCTGGCCTTTCGTTCGATCAGTGAATTATGGTGCGACGATCCACGTGCCTCTGTCTTTCAGCTTATCCGGAACTTACGGGAGACCAGCGCCCGGATCGGGTATAATCAGTAATACGTATGCAGCTATTTCTGGACTCGCGGGCGGTGTACTCAGTAAATCTGCACTAGCTGGAAACGGTTACAGTGCCTACGTACCGGGATCCGGAGCTGTCAGAATATACGGGGGCGACAACCAACCGTCTTGGGGTGGTTGGGGAAATGGCAAATGGGGACATTACGGAAAAGGCTAGCTAGGAATATATTATACTTTTTTAGAAACCTCAAATAATAAACTATTTCTATGGGTTCCGCGTGTGAATTATTCCCATAGCATCGACAGTTTGTAAAAACAAAAATCTAATTGTGGTAAGATATAAAAAAAAAACAGATTCTCAGGAATAAACTAAAACTGTGTAAAGATAATAAAGGGAATAAATTGAACGCGAGACATAATTATCTGCAATAATGTTAAAATCTAAATAAAATATGTAAAAAATAATTCAGTTTTTATTTGTACACACTAATAATTTTAAATTAAAATTTTTTACTAAATCTTAACCTATGTAGTTATTTATTATTAAATATTTTATTTATTATACTATTATTTTATTTTAACTTATGTAATAACTCATTTTCACTATGCTTAGCGAATAAATGATTTCTTTCTTTCTTTCTTTCTTTCCTTCTTTCTTATATATGTTTCATTTGATAGGCAGGAGTGGCACAGGAGAAAGTTCTTAGAGGAGGCCACGACCCTCATCATTGAGGATTATCGACGCAAGGAGGAGGAGGATTTATTAAAATAGTAACATTACCAGCATATTATTGTCATATATATATTTTTTTTCAATCGATTAGCGCACCGTAATTCTTATATTTCCTTAGATGATACTTCTCGATCTGAAGGTTGTATGGACGAGTTAAATGTTAGTGATAACACCGCTCGTAATACTTTTTGTGTACTAATATTTTGCATTTGTTTTCTTTCTACGCTGTTGTACAATAAAGCGTATTATACTCTAACTATGTCATTGGCTCTAAAATTTATATTTAATTAATTATACTTCCACCTAGTTCCAATAAATACATTCCACATACATAAAATGTAGTACCTGCTTACTAAGCTGAACTGATTGTACTTGCATCAACGTCGATCTTTCTTTGTACAAGTTAACAATCAGTGGCAATCAAATGTCAGTAGTAATTACTTAGTTTCCTGTGTGTATCACTGATATAACCGCACTATCCGGTACATACAGCAGAAGCTTAGCAATGGTCGCAGTTTTGATATTCTTCTCTGTGTTTCCAACACTGATTTTGTGTTCTGGTCAAGGCAATATTCAATTACTAGAAGATGAAATATCTATGGCACTTAAGTCTTGTGCTATTACGGATTTAGGAGCCGGTAATCGACAAAAAAGATCTAATGATTTATATAATAATGGTGGTTTAGACGGCAACTCGAAGCAAACGTCAAAGAAATATATTCTCGAAAGACGTAACACTGATGGGAGACGTGAGCAGATTTACAAAATTAATACAACTGATGACGATTTTGAAAACGATGCACCTAATGAAAAACAATGGTTTAGTTTTTCGTCACCACAAACGGGAGGCGCCCGTCATTACAACTCTAGAAAACTGTATAGGGCGAAACGCAACGAACCACTTTTTAATAAATCTGACACTGACCAGGTAAGACTTATTGGTTTTTTTTTTAAATAAATAAACACATTTAAATTTATTGCCGACTAGCGGCCCGCTCCGGCTCCGCTCGGGTCTTTAATAAAAATTTCAACAATATTTGACGTTGTTTTATTTTAAAAAATAAAATAACACTTATTGCGGCATAACCATCATAGTTAAACATATGCTGTCGCGACACTTTTTGTAAATAATACTGTGTTCTACAAAGTCGTAGTACATTATTTTATTCTATCATCAATAGCATTTTCGCAGGGCACGCGATGTAAAGAATGTTTTAGGTAATTTTTTTACACCTTGGGTTACATTATTGAAGTTTTAGTAAGGATCCCTAACTTTTTCAAAAAAGATTATAGCCTATGTCACTCGGGAATAGTGTAGCTTCCAACCAGTGAAAGAATTTTTCAAATCGGTTCAGTAGTTTCGGAGCCTGTTCAATACAAACAAACAAACAAATCTTTCCTCTTTATAATATTATATAGTATAGATAGTATAGATTCATCTATAATCTTTTGTTCGTATGCGTGAATCGACGAATGCGTAAATCCCATTCAATTGATTCGACGATTTTATATTTTTAATACTTATTATATACACTTACAACTCATATTTGTGATGTTTATGGATTTAGGTAACCGGTTAATTTAAGCCATAAGCAAGACAACACGATCTGTAGTTGACTAATAATAAAATAAAATAAAACATACCTTTGAGTCATTAAGCCCTTGTTCAGTACTAATCAAATAAGGGTTTTACCGATCCTTATTTATTCTGATAAGTCACCTTGTTTCAGTGCCTTAGTCAATGTGTGTTTGCCAATTTACAAGTGGTAAGTACAATGTTTTTTATTAGTTTACGATGTATAGCAAACGAACAATCGTTTGAAATGCAAACTTTGCGTCGTCTATTGACATGTGTGAACGCTTTTACCTATTTACATAATATGTATATGCTGCTGTTTAAGTGTGATATATTATTTAAATATGTATTATATATACTTATAGTATTATGTTTATAGTATTATATTTATTACAATAACATGTGGTTTACTTATTTATAGTTTTTTAATAATAATCATAAATCATGTATTATTTTATCCGACTTTGAAAAAACTGAAGCACCTACCCTCGACTTCTCGCGTATATTTTAAATGCATATGCTAAGAGCTAAGTTATATACCAGACGGACGGACGGACCTTGTAGTATTTATTGGAAGTGTATTAACTCCAAGATTTTGTTATGTTAAAATACACCATTAACAATTAACTTTAATCCACTCTCTGGCGCTGCACAAAGTGCACTGTACCGAAGTAAGTACTCTTTTTTTTAATCTCTCTTTGGTTATGCATAATAAATAAATACCTTCTCTATACCAAATATTATAATTGATAGTTATTTTTTTTTTTAAAACAAAACAGGCGTGAGCTTTGGTAGTTTTCGTTGTCATAATTTTAAAAGAAAAATCATCTGTTACATTAGGTATATCATATTAAAAATTTTGATGTTCAAAATTTCGTAACAAACATAACATAATTTTAAAAATAGATGAAGAAACGAACTTACGATTCACCTGATATTAAGTGGTTAACGGACCCTATAGATAATACAAAGTGAATGCCCACCTTGATACTTGAGTTCCTGCTAAAAACAACACCCTATTTTTTTATTTACACAAAATTATTTTAAGTTCTATATTCAGGTGGATCCGCATGGTATCCCACGTGAAGCTGAATTGTGGAACCTTGTGCAGTCTTCAATCACATCCCAACAGTCACGTGCTGCTTTACATGACCAAATACATGCTTGCTTTCAAGAACTACAATCCGGTAATGTCGTTGCACGAATAAATAACAAATATGTTAATTTATTACCATTTTGTATAACAAATAACATCACACTTCACTGTCAGATCGTTTGAAATTTTACTTTTATTTTTCTGTGTTGGTGATAATTTCATCATTTTTTAACAAGCTTTTATAAGCTTAATATGTATGTTCGTTTATTTGTATGTACCTAAGCGAATCTTCGAACGACATTTTCACAGAATTCAACATGTCTGATTGATTTATATATGTATTTGCACACGCAGCAAGGATTGATGACAGTATAATAATTTTAGGTATAACTTCGTTTAATTATCTTAATCAGTATCAGAAATAAATATGAAATTAAATTATAGTTCCGTTTGCTGTTTAAACGTATTTTTATTTATTTATTAAACTACATTTAATATTTACAATTATCTATGATAGGTATAGTAGAAATATCCAATCCATAATCACATCCATGTAAGGTAAATAAGCTTAAGATACCTTTGCATCATTCATAATTTAAATATTTTTATTACATTAACAGAAACCGAAGACAACGGATGTTCATATTCAAACAAACTAGAAAAATGTCTCATGTTGCACTTCGCTGAGAGAAAAGAGAAGAATATGAAATCAAGAAATTCTAACTAGCAGACTTCTTTTATTTTTGTTGTGTTGGTTTATGCCGTCTAATAATATTTAATAGCAAAATTGTAATGATCCATTTGTATTCGATCATAAAGTGTGTATAAACTTAATAAAGTTTTGAAAACAGCAATTGTTTAGAATTTGTCGAAGATCCTGTTAGTCGAGAGATTGCTCCGTCTTCATATCTTAAGTACCTATTTACCTACACGTTTTAGCGCCCTCTTAAAATACTTTTCTGTTTGTATATTAAATGTTTATTTATGTGTTCTGAGGAATTGTTTGAGATGATTACATCATCTCGTTTTTACCATCGCACCGCTCGCCACCGGAGTAGAGTTCATCCATACTAACTGGAGTCACTGCGTTCATCCACAGTGCGTTTCCAGAGAGCTTTTTTGCCGCGTTTTTTTATTTATTTTTATTGCTTAGATGGGTGGACGTGCTCACAGCCCACTTGGTGTGAAGTGGTTACTGAAGCCCATAGACATTTACAACGTAAATGCGCCACCCACCTTGAGATATAAGTTCTAAGATCTCAGTATAGTATTACTGCTTCACGGCAGAAATAGGCAGGGCGGTGGTACCTACCTGTGCGGACTCACAAGAGGTCCTACCACCAGTACCATCTGGCTTTGGAATGAGCTCCCCTCTACGGTGTTTCCCGAGCGCTGTGACATGCCCTTCTTCAAGCGAGGCTTGTGGAGAGTACTTAACGGCAGGCAGCGGCTTGACTCTGCTTCTGTCATTCTTGAAGTCCATGGGCGATGATAGCCACTCACCATCAGGTGGGCGGTATTCTCGTCTGCCTACAAGGGCGATAAAAAAAAAGAAAAATATTACATCCCCGAGAATCAGAACGAGCTCTCAATAGGCCACGCCCTAACGTAATACGTATACGAATGGGAACCGCGACTTCATTTATACCATTGCCGCTTTCGGAAATTATTTTATAGTATCCAAAGCTTGATAATATGTAGGTACTTTGAAATTCCGATCATAGATGAACTTAACAATGATTTGGCTTGTAAATAACTACCGATAACAAAGGGAATATCTAAATTACTTGAATAAGGGGTAACTGTAGTTATCCCTACAATTACAAGTATAAATATGTATTTCTAAAACATGATATTTAATAAATGCCAAAAAAGATTTCAAACCTAATAATTTTATACGGTCGTTTTCGAGCAGAAAAGTTTCTAAGTACATCAAACAGCTAATCGTAATAATATCGTAGGAAAAACACCAAAAAAACACATAAATATTTAATTTAAAGATATAAAATTACAGGATAACCCGGATACGAGAAGGGTTGCGGATGATATATGACAGGCGCTTCTAGGCTCACATTCCGCAGTTGGTGCGGAAATATCTGTCTCGGCAACGACACTTCAAAACGATCTGATTTCATTTTCTGAAAATTTGTGGTAATAAATCTCATTAGGCGGCAAAAAAACATGTTTTTTTATTACACAGAGAAGTTCACGGCGTACCTACCTACTTTGTGTTAATTTACTTATTAGCATTCAAACTTCCAAGGCCGCTACCCACCTTGAATTCCACTAGCAAAATAATATGGAATAATTTCACCATATTTACGTATTATGAGATAAATTTTTTTTAAGAATATTTATTACAAACATATTTGAGATTTCAACGCCGTGCCTCAAAATGGGCATCAACATTGACATTACGGTACATTGTTATTATCTTTATCCAGACGTTAGCCACTAGACGTTTCGTGATCTCATCCATCGAATTCCCTCTGATAACCAGTAAGACAGACTACCATAATACTACGCTAAAACTTATACATCTATTATTAAATGCGATTTTTCTCTAAAATTCACCTTACTCGCTGAAATATTAGCACACAAACAAACAACGACACATAATTGCTTCAAATTAAAAATCATTTTCAATTATGATGGAAAATTGAAAAACCATTGGCATGTTAAAAACATTAATTGCGTATATAAAGATTGAAAAGCTTCGATTTAAGCGATTGATTATCAACTAGCCTATTTCGTTTCTAATTTTGAACGCACATTAAAATAAATATGATTTTTTGATGTACCTACTACCTACTCAGATTACTTGTTGAAATGAAAACTTATATAACACGGTTTTAATTTGAATGAAACAACCAAAAACTGACATGACTAACCGGTCACCGTCCTCGTCGAACCCGTCGCTTGCGACGAAGGCCTCGACGAGCGAACTAACCCATAGACACAGCCCACTGAGTTTCTCGCCGGATCTTCTCAGTGGGTCGCGTTTCCGATCCGGTGGTAGATTCTGCGAAGCACTGCTCTTGCTAGGGTCAGTGTTAGCAACTCTCCGGTTGAGCCCCGCGAGCTCACCTACAAACGTTAGGGCGAAGCTGAAATAGCCTCTCAAGGCTATCAGCATAGGTAGGAAAAAAAAAAAAAAGACGTGACTAAGCCTACGAAAGAATAAGATATAATATTTCAAGAGATCGAAATAATTTATAAGAAGAGATCGAGATCATTACTTTAAATTGGTAAAAGTGCTATCCTACTGCTCAAACTAAAACGCACCAATGCTTAGACATAAAAACAGGTAGATATGTGCAAGTGCAGTTTTTTACTGGTGGTAGGAGTGTGAGTCCGCGCGGGTAGCTACCACCACCCTAACTATTTCTGCCGTGAAGCAGTAATGCGTTTCGGTTTGAAGGGTGGGGCAGCCGTTGTAACTATACTGGGACCTTAGAACTTATATCCCAAGGTGGTTGGCGCATTTACGTCATAGATGTCTATGGGCTCCAGTAACCACTTAACACCAAGTGGTCTGTGAGGTCGTCCACCCATCTAAGCAATAAAATAAAATAAAAACTAATAATGATGAATTGTCTGAATTTATTACCAGATACTGCTTTCGCGCAGTTTGTGAACACATACTGAACATATTATGCTTAAATTTCCTTTTGGTCGGTCTTACTGGTGGCAGGACCTCTTGTGAGTCCGCACGGGTAGGTACACCGCCCCGCCTATTTCTGCCGTGAAGCAGTAATGCGTTTCGGTTTGAAGGGTCACGGGTGGGGCAACCGTTGTAACTATACTGAGACCTTAGAACTTATATCTCAAGGTGTGTGGCGCATTTACATTGTAGATGTCTATGGGTTCCAGTAACCACTTAACACCAGGTGGGCTGTGAGCTTTAATAATGTTACACACGTACATAGTACCTATTTTACTAGACCAAGTAGGTCCTACCTTTACACACTTCGCCCTCGACTTAAGCAGGTCAACAACCAACAACAACATTATTAACGGAACGTTATAGTTTTGATGGATCCGATTTTATAAATTTTCACTGTCTACATGAAATGAGTGGATTGATCATATTTACTTTTTAACAAATAGTCTACGATCTAAACCATGTGTTTGAGGTATTGTTCGAAAACAGAGCAAAACAATGATGCACCCAGTTAATGAAAATTTATTTTATTTTGCACACTTATTAGAAATATTATTATTGTCATACATAATAATGCAATGTATAGTTATAAATTTAAAATTATATACTGCTTAAAATTTCAGTGTACTGCCGGTGCCAGCACCGAGAGTGACACAGCATTCAATGGAAGTGGTGGACGATTATTGCAAACTCGCGGTTGTGCTTGTATATGTTTTGACCATCTGCATAAGTGAACAAAGGCATCGCGTTCTGCTACAGACATATGCTCCTATAACAAGAAATTAAAATTAGTTCATGATATAAATCAGGGGTTCCCAAACTTATTTTGTCTACTGCCCTGCCCACTTTGAGAATAAATAATTTTTTAGCGCCCCCATTTTTTCACATACCTAAAAACCACTATAGTGAGAGTTTAGTCGGTGTCTAAAAGTCCTCTTAGATGAAATTACAAATCACCTCTCACGATTCTGCACAACGCTCCCATTTTTTTTCTGGGTCTGTTACCGCCCCCCTTTAGGCCTGGAGTGCCCAGAGGGGGGCGTTATCGCCCACTTTGGGAAAGGCTGATATAAATTAAAAAACAGAATTATATAACATCTTACAAACCTGAAATTAACATTGTGTAATAAAAATGAAACCCGCAAAATTATAATTTGCGTAATTAGTTGTGTTGGACCTCTTGTGAGTCCACACAGATAGGTACCACTACCCTGCCCATTTCTGCTGTGAAGCAGTAATGCGTTTCAGTTTGAAGGGTGGGGCAGTCGTTAAAAGTTAAACCTTTAGGTTGGCAGCGGTATTTACGTTGTAGATGTGTGTGGCCCCAGTAACCACTTAACACCAGGTGGGCTGTGAGCTCGTCCACCCACCTAAGCAATGAAAGAAAAATAAAAAATGTATGATTTCTTTCATTTTTGTTTTAATATAAAGAAAGAGAAGATAAAATTGTAATTACTGTTTTGTCTCTGCCTATTTGTATAAAGACACTAGTACCTCATGTTTTTTCCTGATATTCGTTTATTCTCCACCTATACATGCACCATGATTTGTCATGCATTAAATTTGTAATTCAAAGATAACTATTATACATGTTGCATTATCACAAGATAGATTCAGTTTGTCACTATTTCGTCAATAAACTAAAAGTCAAATTGTAAATCCTTCCGCATAAATTTTCAAACCACTGTCATATCATTCACCATTACTTAAATCTTATCATATACCTGCAGCATATTCCGTCATAAAGTATTCAATTGTTTTATTCAAATATTAATCTAAATTTGTGCAAAACTTCACCCATGTTGAATTTTAATTTGTTGTGTAAGCGATACAAGTGTTTAGACACATACCAGTAAAGGATACACTATGTAATATAATGCAACATCGGCAATTGTTNTCATATCATTCACCATTACTTAAATCTTATCATATACCTGCAGCATATTCCGTCATAAAGTATTCAATTGTTTTATTCAAATATTAATCTAAATTTGTGCAAAACTTCACCCATGTTGAATTTTAATTTGTTGTGTAAGCGATACAAGTGTTTAGACACATACCAGTAAAGGATACACTATGTAATATAATGCAACATCAGCAATTGTTAGAAACTGGCCAGTCAGATATGTGTTACATTGTAGAGCTCTGTTTATTTCCTGAAAAAATAAAGCATTTCAGTACTGGTTAGGAGAATTTGATGAGAGGGGCACTTTACACGCCAATATTGTGGACAGAAAATACACTTATGAACAATGTACATAACAAGAAATTCAACTTAAAAAATATTATAGATGCACGAAATTTAGTAATTTGTTTAGTTATACTATTGAATACATTTCATGCGAAATTGTAATAGTAGTCTTCTTTATATTTAACTTCTTCTTCTGTTCCTTTTTATATAGTTTTATAGTCCTATATATTCCTATTACAATAGTTTACAATATGACATTATGTGCTACTTTAGTAATTAATATTATTGTGATCAATTAATTAAATATAATTTAAATTAAACATTTTTATATATTTTTTAATTAATTATCAAAAATGTATAACCATCTTTATGTACCTAGCTTTCTATTACTTTATTCATAATACCAAAATGTTTTTACTCGTTAAAAAGTTTAAATTACTCCACCAACAAAAATGTACGGCAATAAAATAACTAATGAAAATATCTCTACATTTCAAACTATGCTTAAATTTTAAAATGAAGATTTTTATTTTTGTAAATATAGTTTTCCCACATATGGAACGGGTTAGAGGCAAAAACTCAAAATTTAAGTAAACGAACTAACTTGCAAGAATTTGAATGCAAAAGTTGAATTTGCCACAGCCTGATTACTAAACATGGAGATGTACTCTAACCATTGGTAGGTTAGCAGTCGTTGCTCTTCACTGCTTGCAGTTCCACATTTTGAAACCATACTCAAAATGATAGTCACAAAACCCTCAACATTTTTATTTTCAAGTACGGCAGTGGGAACCTGGGAAAATTCAAACAGAAACTAAGGTTTTACTGAACTGAACCCAGCTTTTAGGTTCCATTAATGAAAAATTGTAGTGTTTACTTTGTCTGTATTATAACAAACGGCCCCGACTGAAACATCTAAATATTTTCCGATCATCTTAATTACATCCACATTATTGGTACTCATTTTCGGCATAAAAATAATCTGGCTTTATACTATGTGTAAGAGCAAAGTAGTAACTTATTTATTTTTGAAGTTTAGAAGAGTACACAATTTCTAAAACAACTGCGTTTGTTTATTAGTTCAAGACTTTAATTCATAAATAATACATTTAATACATATTTATGACTATAATTTACGGGATGAATATGAATTTCTCACGCCTCATTTGAATACTTGCCGAACACAGAAAAGAAGATTGAGTGTATTATCTATGCAGAATATTAATGAAATATTCGGTTGTGGTTCTGAAGTTGTCTATGGTTCTGAATTATCCGTCTCGCCGGTTTTACGAAAACCTAAAGAAATCTGAAAACTGTTGAAGTTTAAGCAGCTATGTTAGGGATTAAACAAGCAACTAACTTTTTTTTAAAAATTAAATCGAAATGTAGGTATAATATCATCAATCACACTCTTTTTACACGCTTTATATTAGCTTAACTTGTATGTATGTTTGTATGTTTGTAACTGACACCTATAACCGCTATTTTGACACACTTTAAACGGCCAGATTTTATTCAAACTTTGTAGATTTATCGAGGACCGATCACAATACATTAGTTTGATAACATTATTCCATTATTCAATTTGCAAAATAACATTTTTGCCAAGTTATATAATTTTTATCTATAGTCGATAAGGCAGGAATTGATGTTAAAGTACTTATTAGTTATAAAAATACGCTTTTATAGAGAATTTAACTAAAAAATGAAATATGAATAATAGTTTAAAAAAGCTAAAAATAAGCTTTATATAAAATTCAACTAAAAATAGATAATAAATTTGAATAAATTTAATTTAAAAATAGTGTAATATATATTTTATTTTAAAAAAAACATGGGTGCTTTTCAAGATATTATTGAAATAATAATTCTTCTACTCTTAACTGTCAGAAAAATGTTTATAACTAATAGCACCATGCACACCACGTTTTTTTTTTTTCAATAAAATATATTTTACACTATTTTCAATTTAAGTTTATTAAAATTTATTTTCTATTTTTTAGTAGAATTTTATATAAAGCATGTTTTTTAGTTTTTTTAAACTATTATTTATTCTTCTCGAATTGCCTAATTTATTAGAATCATATCCGCTGTTTTCGGCTTGACATACCTTTTGTAAGACACCCTGTATATTAGTGACCAAAGAGACTCGACATCAAATAAAGTAAAAGTTTAATTGATATTGAATGAAATTTCGTGAATAGTAGTGTGAAATTTATATTTGATATAAAAAACTGAGGTTTTTAGACTACAACAACGGCGAACAGAAAGTGTAAATGCTAGGAAATATTGGAAAGTGATTCTAGAATAAACAGCGTGCAGAGAACATTGCAGTGGCTATGCGTACATCTATAATCCACTACTTTTTTTTTCTGAGACAGCTTGTTGTATCTCATTATATTTTCATCCAAATGGTTCCAGACGTAGAATGTAGGACATTTTTATGCTTTAATTTGGTGTTTTGTTGCGACTTTGAAATCCAAGGCACGGATTAATTATTGGAAATATGTTTGTTCAAACGTGGAAGTAACCACATTTGAAATAAGAAGAAACTTCATTTATTCACAGAGAACACAAACACTACACTATAATGTAGGCAAACAAGTAATCTTGATTCCTGGGCCTAAACCATTGATTTGCAACAACTGACTGATGATAGATGTTCAATTGTCAATAATTGTCACTCAGGTCACTGATTTTTTGGACTATCTTGTGTTGTTGATAACAATATTTCATTATAATTTAATGGTTTCTTTCATAATTTTCTAGAATCACACCAGCAAAAAATATAATCATAATTTGTTAACAGATATTACACTTAAATTTATAGCGTGAATTCGTGGTTTTGCTAACGTTTATTTCGTAAATTATAAAATGTATTGACATCAAGCTTAAAGTATTCTTTAATTTCTGCTCTATAAACCGTTTTAATGTTGACTTTGTGTCACAATTATTTTCACGTCTCGCCCAATAATAAAAACAAAGATGTTGTTCAAGAGTTCAACCGGAAAAAATATGTGTTCGGTGTATTTATTTTGTTACTGGTCGTTGTATTATGGGTCGTATCCTCAGAGATGACAAAAGTAAGTATTTAATGGGAAGCAATAGTTGTGCACATCTTACATTCTAACAGTAAAATTATTATAAAAATTAAAATAAGGTCTGCAATCCTCTATTTTTTTAATTAGATAATGGCTTTGTAAATGTCAACATGAAACCAATAATTAAATTTTCAAATATTACCTTGTTATTATTTAATTAAATATTTCATTAATTAGGCTAATGTTCAACTATTAATCTATAATTAAAATAAGTTGTGTGTAATTAATTTACTATTTGTTAAAAAAAACTGTATCTAATTTTCACTACTGTTTTTTTTTTTCAGTATTTATACACTGAAAAACACTTAGAGAGACCGTTTCTCGTGACTTACGTGAGAAGTTCATTACTATTTATATATCTCTTAGTTTTGTGTTTTTCACCTCCTACAAAGGATCCTTGTCGACCAACTGATTACACTGTAAGTGAATATGCCCCACCTTAACCTCTTTAAAAAAAAATAGATAATAAAACAAAAATCTTGTTCATGATTTATTTTCTCACTTGAAGTTGCAACCAATGACAAATGATTACTGGAACTTATAAGTATAACTTAAATTATCACTAAATTAATCTAGCAATAAGTAAATAGGCTCAGATGATGTTTGAATAATATTATATTATATTATATAATTAACCCTTATGAGTAGAATTGTTCTGTGAGCAATATGTCCTGCCCACGAAGATATAGGATGGCCGTAGGGGCCAGAAAGTTTTTGAGTGGTGACCGCATACTGGAAGATGTAGTGGGGGTAGGCCCCAAGATGGGCCGATGATCTATTGAGGTTCGCGGGGATCCGCTGGATGCAGGCAGCGCAGGACCGGTCTTTGTGGTGAGGCTTGGGGGAAGCCTATGTCCAGCAGTGGACGTCCATGGGCTGATAAGAAGAGTAGAATTGATCACCAGGACTATTCTGAATTTATTTTGACTTATAGGATAAGATGCCTGATGTACTCATCTTAAACAATGTGGCAGTGCTGGTATTCAAACCTACTGGCAGATGCCAATTTTTCACTGATATACATATTTGACACATGTTAACAAATATCGTTGTTGATATCTATAGACTATCTTAGTCACTCAATATCATGTAACTTTTATCACTTCTGAATTAAATTGTAAAGTTATAAATGAATTGTTCCAAGCTTTTGCAGCTATCTATATTATAAGCAGTATTATTTAACGTTTTCTAAGACCAATTTTTATTTTTAATCATCTCAGTAGAGATTAAAGCTAAAAATCAAGGTGAGATCTCATTCAATAATATTCTCTATAATAATTTCGCAAATTCAATTTTTTTAACCTATTGGTTCTGTGTGGCTTATATAAAACTATAATATAACGACAAAAAAAAATGTTTTTTCAGCAATTATTAGAGCCTACAGCAGAAACGGATGATGAAAGCTTCTTTACTGAATCCAATGTAAATAGTTTGGTATGTAGTTATAATTAGTAAATTAATGAATCAAAAACATTCACTGTCAATCTGATGCTTAAAACAACTATGGGTATTTATAATTTGATAACATAAAAAACTTGTCTTGTATTGTAATACAATCTCAATGTGTTATTAGTTAAGTTAAATGATTTATTATTAGATTTTAACTACTAAGTAAATCTATTTTTGCAGGGTGATTCAACATTTATACCGGTCAGAGCGGGGGAAACAACCGACAGTGACGATGCTGCACCCAGAGCTGTCCGTTTTAATAAAGTTGCTGAGGTACAGTTCAACAATCCAACCTGTTTCTGATTTACACATCTTAGTGATCTTTGTGTCCTAATTACATTGTACATGTTGACTGCAGAATATAAAAATTCTTCATAAAAACATTTCTGTTAACAGGTAACTTTTTTTCTTTTTATATTGCATTTGCAGGTAAACGAGAATATGGCCCACCTGATGGTAAACTGTTACCGTAACTCATGGACGTCGGTAATGCCAGGGGCAGAGCCAAGCCGCTACCTACCATTGAGTACTCTCCTCAAACCCCGTTTGAAGAAGGACATGTCGTAGCGCTCGGGAAACACCGTGGAGGGGAGCTAGTTCCAAAGCTGGATGGTACATGGCAATAAGATATTTGGAAACGCAATGTCGATGAGCGCAGCCATTCCAGATAATATGGACGAACTCTGATCCGGCGGCGAGGGATCTGAGTGTTTTATCAATAAGATCCTAAATGCTATTTGTATGGTTATTTTGTGGTACAGGTACGAGTTATGTCAGCAGCGATGGCCAGTGAAGCGTTGTTGGCCCGATTATCTTGGGCGGCCTCAGAACGTGCTGCGCAAGTTGCACAGAGGCGTGCCGCTGCAGCCGCCACAAGACGACATCTGCGTTTAGCATTGTTCTTGTCTATGCCTGTAAGTATAGAGCGATAATGTCCGCTTTTATTTCTACAGACAAGCTCACGTCCCACCAGAAGTTTCGAGACTCGGACTCTCAGTTGCTTGGTTTAAGGGCAGGTGCTTTGTAGCAAAAATAGACCGAATGTACCTTTTTTTTCCTACTTAAGCTGATAGCCTTGAGAGGCTATTTCAGCGTAACCTTAACTAGTAGGTGAGCTCACGGGGCTCAAACCTGACGACGTTGCTAACACGAACCCTAGCAAGAGCAGTGCTTCGCAGAATCTACCACCGGATCGGAAACGCGACCCACTGAGATGATCCGGCGAGAAACTCATTGGGCTGTGTCTGTGGGTTAATTTACTCGTCGAGCCCTTCATCGCAAGCGACGGGTTCGACGAAAACGATGTACCTGGGCGTGATTAAAATACACCCTAATAATTAGCCATTTTATTACACGATATTATCGTGGATCATTTCACTTGACTATTTTTTTGTATCCCCTTAATGACTTAAATTCGAATACTTAATACAAAGTAACTGATTATATGTATAATTCTTTGTTACAGTGGTTCATATCAAACTATCTGTACCGTTTAAGTATACTGCACACATCAACTAGTTCAGCTACAATGTACACATCTACAACGGGCGCCTTCGTTCTTACCCTGGGAGCTATATTTGCAGAAGTACCAACGGATCGGTTCACAATCTCGAAAAGTGTTGCCGTTCTTTTA